AACTGCCGACCTTTTGGTTAGCAGCCGAGTTCTTAACCACTGCACAACCATGACCCAGCAATCCCACTCTTAGCTGTATACCCAAGAGAATTGAAAACACACATCCACCCAAAAACTTGTACACGAGTGTTCATAGCAGCATCATTCATAATATTCCCAAAGTGGAAGTGACCCAAATGCTCATCAAAGATGAATGGATAAACAAAACATGGTATATACATATAATGGAGTATCATTCAGTCATAGAAAGGAATACAGTTTTGATACATGTTACGACATGGATGAATCCTGAAAACATCATGCTAAGTGAAAGAAGCCAGACACAAAAAGATAAATATTACAGGATTCCACTCATATGAAATATCTAGAATAGGCAAATTCAGAGAGACAGAAAGTAGGTTAGTGGTTGCCTGATGCTGTGGGTGGTAATGGGTATTGACTGCATGAGGGCAAAGGCGATGTCACTGAGGTGATGGAAATGTCTAAAATTGGATTGTAGTGATGGTTGCACCACTTGATAAATTTACTAAAAATTGCATTTATTGCGCCAAGGGCATTTTAAAGACATTTATGTGAAGGAATTAAAAACAGCGACTTTTATGGTATGTAGATTATACCTCGATAAATTTTTTTTAGAAGCACTCTGCGGGGAGAAAGAAAAGAAGGGAAGGAGGGAGGGAGGGAAGGAAGGAGAGGGGGTCAGGAGGTCATCTATCGACTTTGACCATTTATTTGAGCTCATACAGAGCTTATTAGGCTGTGGTCTGTTGTTGTTGCTGCTGTGGTCACGGTAGGGATGGTAGTTTTCCCAAGAAGGCTAAGGGTCAAGTAATGATTTGGCCTTTTTGAAAAAAATCAAAATTTCAATTAAAAAAAAAAATAAGAAATGTTGCTGGCTTGAAATTGGGAGTAGCAGTAGAGACAAAGTGGAGATGATGGATTTTTAAAATACACAAAATGTAAAAGTGACAGGACTTCGTATTGATTGGCTATAGGGAGTGGAGAAGCATGAGGATGCCTCAGACTTGGCATGCTTAAAGTTGAACTCCTATTGTCCTCCCGCTTGCTTGTCCGCCCATGCTGCCAATGTCAGTGAGTGGACGGGCGCCCTGGTACAGAGCAGGCATTCACTGACTGTCTTTGGAGTGAGCAAATGAGTGAATGGAGTGAAAATATGTCCAAACAAAGCCTTCATCAGCTCCTGCTAAACAGCTAATCCTAAACTCAACATCAAGGTCAGACACAGCAGATTTCTAGCACAATTTCCCTCTCACTTTTATGACCATTCGAGAAATCATCAGGTCTCACAACCCAGAACACCCGTCTTCATATCAGCCACTCCTCGTGTGGAACCCGCAGGTGTGGCACAGGCTGTGTTTTGCCAAGAGCCTCTTACCCTGTAAATCTCTGCACACAGCAACGGCAGGTACATGTTAAATCCACATGAACATGGGCAATGTTTGGTGCTGCTGTAGAAAGGAGGGTCATGGTGGCACCCAACTGGTGGATCTATGTTCAGTTTGGCTCCAAGCAGGAACAGACTCTTAGCAGCAAAGATGTTTATTAATCCAGGCCTCCCTCTACCAGGCAGAAAACACAGCTGCTGGAAACACTGTAGATACTAAGTGATCGGTGGAAGGACAGCAAAATGATATTTTACTGCTGCTCCCAGGGTTGACAAGCAGAGATCTAAAACTACTTGTGGTTCCTGATGCAGACGCCAAAACAAGGAAGTGTTCGTTCCAGTTCCTGATTCTCAGAAATAAAGAACTAGGTGGGGCACTCAAAAGAAGCCAACAGGGAATATTCACTTCATTGCACTGGTTATAAAATATTACCTCTGTAATTAAATAAAGAGGTTATATCTTATCTCATAACCAGTGTGATAAAGTGAATATCTGCTGTTGGATAAATACGGATAAATAAGCATATAACGAGGAGGTATTGGAAGTTGACATCACAATGCTGTTCTATAGTGTTTACAATTCTTCTTTAACTTTATAGTTAATGTAGAATAAACTGTACGTAATTTTTACTACAGTGTGTCCTAAAAGGGCAATATAAGGCTAAGAAACAACTCTGAAAGAGTGGGAGTGTTACATACACAAATGGAAAAGTAGATTATGAAAGTGCTCCTAAAAACGATAGCTCAAATTTTTCTTTGATTGGGTATACAGTTAAACTACCCATCTCTTTTATTATGTGACTTTCGCTAGACAATGTATTATGTTCATTCAACACAAAACACTTTGCATGCCAAATGTGGCTAAAAATCTTTACTAGTAAAGCATTCACAGGCGCATTCTTCAGAGTTGACATTCAATTAATGCGTCGAATGAATTTTGTTTCTAGTTTAAGGGAGTCCCTGGGTGGCAAAAACGGTTAATCACTGGACTACTAACTGAAAGGCTGGCAGTTTCAACACACCCAGAGGCACCTCGGAAGAAAGGCCTAGCGATCTGCTTTCAAAGGTCACAGCCTTGAAAACCCGATGGAGCAGTTTTACTCTGCACGCGTGGGGTCGTCATGAGTCGGAATCGACTTGAGGACAACCACCACCACCAAGAAGTAGCATTCAAAAGGCTTTTCAGAGTTGTTTTCAGAACGGACTCCCTTAGCTTTCCCAATGCTCTGCTCTGCCACTCCTGATTCTTGCTAGGCCAGCTTTGCTCCGGAGGGGCAGACAAAGGGTAAAATCTGGGCAGCAAACAGCGTATATCAGAAATTAAGTCAGCGCTGTAAGGTTTTGCAGAGGGTCGATTTACACCCTTCACTTCACAGCCAAGCAAACTGAGGCACGGAGAGGGTAGGGAAGGGACCTGCTGTAAGCTAGACAACGCGTCAGTGACAGTGCCAGGCCTGGGAAGCCAGACGAATTTGAAACAATGTACACCGGGCGTCAGTCACCACGCCAGCTTGCTTAGCTCTTCCAGCTCTTCCCGAGCGCTAGGCCCATCTGGCCCTGCGCTGACTGCTGGGCGAACTGTGTCGCGCAACTGGCACAAACCGTGACGACAACCCCGCCGCAAGACAGGAGTGGCCTTTCTCCTCAGCCAGGGTTAAGGTGAGTACCACCGCCCCTGGGGCTGCGCAGCCCCCGTGGGAGACGCCGCCGCCCCACTGCGCCAGCCCTGAAAGCGCCTGGGCAAACCCAACCATCGCACCCACCCAGGGCACCCCTGCCCGGACTCCAACGCGGGACCCACCTGCGCTGGAGGTCACGACTTCCAACTCTGCAGAGCGGGCGGAATGGCAAGCAGGTAGGGCCTCGGAAGGCAGCGTTGCACTGTCCTTTGCTCCCCACGCCCCCACCCCGAAGCTGTTGGCCCCACGCTCCCCTCCCCCAGCCGCTCAGGCCCGGCCGAAAACCCTGAGGCCCCGCCCCTCTCCTTCCGGCCCGTGCGGGCTGGGGGATAAAGAGGCTGGATCGTCCGTCACGTTGCGAGGAGTTTCCAGAGCCTCCGATCCGCAAGGGTCGGGCCCAGGCAGCTACAGGCAATCTCCTCCATGAAACAGATTGGGAGTCGAAGGCGCAGAGAAGAGAAAAGACGAGCCCATAGAACTACACGGCGAGTAACACCCGGGTAGCCTACCTGCCTTTTCAGTGCTGCTCCGAGCCCCACACTATGCTTCAACTTTATGGTGGCTTAGCTTGGCTGAATGCAATGACATTATCCAGCACAATACAAGGTTTGCTGGAACTAAAACGCTTCGACTATCCTTCCACCACTTTCTTGAACCTACATCACATACCACTGCTGGACTCCTACCAGTTCAACTCAGCACCTTGAATCCAAGGTCCAAGTACAGTGCTAAATGCGGTGGACACTGGAAAGGGAATGAGCCATTAGGAATGCACACTTTATGCACGTAAAATTTCAAGAACAATAAATATTACAAAGAAAGACCAAAAAGTGTACTGAAATAGTATGTATGTGCAATGGAAATACACGGCCAAGGGAAAAAAATATAGAGTGAGAACAAACAGGGAATATAATGTATAGACATTGAAAAATGGAAAATTGTGCAGTATTGTAGTTATTACAAATGAAAAATCTTACTCTAATATCAAAAAGGTACTAAGTGAAGCAGTTTGTAAGAGTCAGGATCAACAAAAGAAGGAAAAATCTCTACAACTTTACCCTAGATTCTGTCTGCTAGGAATGCCCTATCCCCACTCGTCTAATTGGAGGACTGCCACTCATCATTTTTTACCCAGTTCAGATACTGCCTCCTCTGTGAATCCTTCCCCATCTTCCCCAGATGAATTTATTTTTCCTTTTTCATGTATCTAATATGTCCAATATATCCTGCACAGGCCTAAAGTATACCACATTCTGCATAATAATTTCTCTCTACCTGTCTCCTCTGATGAACAAGTAGCTTCTTGAGAGCAAAAAAACTTGATTTATCTATCAATGTCTTGCCTCTTTCTTTATGTCGATTCCACCTTGCCCTTACTGATTTCATTCATTCTAGTTGCTACTGTCAAGTGCCTGCCCATCACAGGATCTTTGATCATGCTGTTCTTTGTGAAAGTTCTTCCTTCTGTTTGTCTAGTTAACTCTTATTTGTTCTGTAAACTCCATAAGGGCATGAACTATCTGATTTTTTTTTTTTTTTTTTTTTTACCATTTTACACCCAGAGCTTTCTACAGTGGTATTCTAAGCAGCTAACACAGTGCCTGGCACAAAATGGGAATTAAGAACATAGTTGTTGAATGAGTGAATTAACGGTTGAATGAAAAGCATTAGGTACCGATGTGCTGGAAAATAAGAAAGAAAGAAAAAAAAACCAATGCTGCTTTCTGGGTCCTTTTACGTTCCAGCCACACTAGCCTTCCTTCTGTTCCTAGAACAGAACACACTAAGCTTGTTCCTGCTCTGCTTCCAAAATATAATCTGCTCATCCATTTGTCTCTACCTGCACTTCTAACATTCTATAGGCCAGGGGTTAGCAAACTTTTTTGTAAAGGATCAGATAGTAAATTTTATAATTATTATTTCTTATTCTTCCTTCTATTTCTTCTCCTTTCTCTGTCTTTCCCCTACAAGCTGTTGTTTCTCCAGTCTGCCTTGTTAGATTTCATTTTACACCTCTAACAACTGGAGAAAGACACTATGCCAGTTTGGGTCCTCCAAGAAGCAGACGCCAAGATGGAATTACGAGTGCAAGTGATTTACTGTGGGTAATGCCCGTGAAGACAAACAGGAGTGGGAGCAGAAGTAGGTAGGGTGAGCCTTCGGACCACAATGCAGGTCTGACACCTGTGAAAGAAGAAGAAACAAAGGAAGACTGGGTAGGAAGGGCTTCCTATTGCAGTGCAGCTCCAGAGCAAAGATTGCTGTGTAGAGGAATTCTTCACTGGGCAGATGGCCCTAGTATCCTTCCTGTGCTCACAAATTGGCTGGAGAAGCCTGAGAATGGAATGACCTTGGCTAAAATGCTACAAAAAGATCTAAAAAATGCTGCAGGTGGAGGCTGTTGGCGGACCCCAGTCTTCATAGTAGGTTTTCTTTTGAAAGAAGATCTGAAAGGCTCCTCCATGGCTGCCACAGACATTATGAGCCCATAGCCATAAATCTAGGGTAGGGATTCATCAGCCAAGTTTGAGTCTAGTGATTATCTGGGACAAATCAACTGTAGCTGGGTGAGTGATGTTGAAGTACAGCTTTCATGGGTAACCAGACGTCCCGGTTTGCGTAGGACTGAGGGGTTTCCTGGAATATAAGACTTTCACTGCTAAAACTGGGACATCTATGGCAAACTGGGAAGGTTGGTTGCCCTGCTGTCACCCATGTGAATGGGGGTGGAAAGGGGAGTTAAGACAATCCTATAGGAACCTACTATAAAAACAACTGTATTTTACTGCATTTTATGGGGGAAATTCTATGCTATAGTGGTTTTATAGGATTAGAGGAATTTATGAAGGTCTCAGGACTAATCCCTTGAAAATGCCAATGATCTCTTATACTTTATTTCTTGTCATGCTCACTTTCTTGTGTATTTATACATGCTTCTTCTGTCTAGAATGCTTCTCTCACTGAACCTCCTCACCCTTGCCCCTACTATTAGAAAGAAATGTCTCATGTCCATTACTTTGATATCCATGAGGAAGGCTTTTTCTAAATGAAGATTCAATCACACAACAAATTGCAAGCACCTATCACAGGACATAGCATAAATTAAGGGCTTGTATCAGTGAGTTCTTAGTTGTACTCAACAGAAGCTGAATCTGGCTGATTTAAGTAAAAAAAAGTGTTTAATAAAACTATATTGGAGATGGCACTATACTAGCACCCCTGCCATTGAAAAATCATAAAAATACATAAAGGTAACTATTTATAGGCATCCGACAATAGTAAGCACATGACTTTAATCCCCAGGAGAAGAGAAACTCACAAGGTAAGCCCCAGGATCGCCTCAGCTCTTTGCCTGATGACAATTTCCTAACACAGAGAGAGCAGGATTCCAAGCTGGGCTTCACAGTTTCACTGAGCTGAGGAGGCAAAGATCAGAGTTCAGGGTAGCAGAAGGAGCTGTGAGGCAGAAATCTGTGGGGCAAGGCATCAGTGAAGATGAAGCTGAATCAGAGTATATTCAGATTTTACCGGTTACATATGCTCTCATGTGTGTATCTGTAGTTCTATGCAAGTTTATCATGT